CACCTCTTGTTCCCCTTTCTCTTTGAACTGGTTCTTCCTACTTATGTTTGTCCTCAATTTTGCTTCTTGTTTATATCTTGTGTTATTGACACAAGAGAAACAGTGCAATTTTGAACTTGTGTGTCTGATATATTTCACTTATGATAATGGTCTTACGATCCATCCATTTACCTAAAAACAGCTCAAGCTTATCCTTCCTTATGGCAGAGTGGTATTCCTTTTTATATAAACTCCATATTTTCTTTATCAATTCATCTGTGCTGTTTACAGCAGCATGTTTTATAGAGGCTTAATATAGTAAACAATCTCTGTAGTTTTCAACTTTTGTGTCCATTCCTTCCACATTCCTTGAGATCTCTCTCTCTCTCTCTCTCTCTCTCTCTCTCTCTCCCTACCCAAGTTGTGATTTTCCAGAGTCTAGATTCTGAATCTTGGAGAGAATGAGTAGCTATTGGTTATCACTCTGGTATTTTCTAGCACTAAAAGTTTAAAGGTAACCAAGCATCTGTAAACAAACCACAGAATGTGGCTTCCCCTATTATCAGCCTGGATTTCCTGGTGAGGGTGCTGTATATAAACTGCTCACAATTCCACTAAGTGGTTGCAGGTGGGAGAACTCACAGATCTGAGGACCTTGATCAAAGACTTGACCACAAGTCACTAGAGGGAGCTGCATATTATTAGTAAACAGAGCACAGACAAATTCAAGCAAAAGGATTCCAATATAAATCAAACAGTATGTCATATTCATTGAAAAGAAACAATATGCAAAAAATACCAATTTTCCTTAAATTTTTTATAAGTCAGAGGCTTATCTTTAGAAGCCAAAATGACAATAATGTTAGGCTACTGCCTTGTGCTTCCTGAATTCACCTTGGAAAACAACAGAAGAGAGAGGGAGTAAAGTCTAGCGAACACCCATGAACAACTCAATGTAAACCTCCCAGCATGAGGAAGTCCTGGGGGAGGCTGAAGACTGCTGACCTGGGACTTGTGGTTGAAAAAGGCAGAGCAGGTGGGGGTCTGCACCGGGGCCTGCATAGCTGGCTCATAACAGCATGAGTTGGATGAAAGTTTAAACTCCTGCCTCTACTACCCTGCACGGTCTGAGGCAGCGCCTCATATCAGAGACTCCAGTGACCTACATGTAACAGCAGGACAGCAGGAAACCTGGGCCAGCCTGGCTGCAGAGAGTGAGCTAATAAACACTGGAACCAACCCTGGTGAGTGAGGGCTGTATTTTAAAACAAATGCTATTTAACAGAACATAAGGAATGTAAGAGAAATAGGAAAGAAATTATAGGAGTAAAGCCTGCATGGTAAGAGTAGTTATTCTATATTCCAGTAAGAATCTCCTACATTTTGCCCCACAGAACTCTGGGAGTCAGATCCTTCCAGAAGTGAGCGTTCTCAGGTCCATAGAGGAGAGAGGCCCAAGCTCTGCCAAGAACCAAAGTGAAGACTTCTATGAAGGACAAAAAATGACCCACAGAATCCAGTGCTTCTCTTCTTGTCACAGCCCTGGCACAATGATGGATGTGATGTCCACTGACTCTCACCTCTCAGGGTCAGAATGATGTGATGGCCTTGTTCTGAGGTGCCTCCTTCAGAAGAGGGGAGTGGAGAGTGCTCAAGCTCTGTCAGGATCCAGGTGAGCAAGTGGAACCTCAACTAAAAGAGAGTATTACCAAACAATCCAAATATTCCTGTTTTGTCTTTCCTAATAATGCAAAGAATGATTTTCAACTGAGATCACTTTGTCACTCAGGAGAGCTTGAGGGGAACAGATTCAGGCACATAGAGAACTAGGATGCAGGCACTGTGGGAATCAAGGTGAGGATGCCTAGGGAGGTTGGTGGGACGAGGAAGCTCACCTTCCACCCTGCTGTCAAACTACAGACACACTGCAGGCTGTGGGGTCCACAGACTCTGCTTCATATGGTTACAGGGACACTAGGGCATGTTGTGAGGTTCAGGCTTCAGCTGAGAGGAGTAGAGTGGGTGATGCTCAGTTAGGGCTCAAGGTGATGGGCTATGGGGGGATTGAGGATGTCCCAACTCAGAGCGAGGGTCCCCAAACTCTGGAGAGCTTCCACTTATCGACAAGGTGGGATGCATCCTCCTCTGGAACACCACATAATCCCAGAGAGTGTTGCTCTCAGGTTCAGTAATGAATTAAAGAGTCAGAGTTTGCAATAAAAGTAGACAGTTTATTTAGAAAAAGATGGAAAGGAAAGAAGGTAGATAGCTACCCCGGGAGAGCAGAGCAAGGGGCTAGGGGGCATCAGAAGTGGAACACCTGTGGATTTTTGTCCTCACCTCCTTTTGATTTAGACCTAGCGATTTCCCCGTGGTGGGGCGGGGTTGGGGGGATCCTAGAAGTTGTTGCCATCTGATTGGCTCTCTGGCTGTCTTTGATCCTAGCCTGAGCACCTCTATCTATATTCTTTCTGGCCCTTTGTGGTGGGAAAGTGTGTGGGAGGCATTTTATAGAAAGGTAACTAAGAGTTCATGATGAAGGGGCCACGTGTGTTTTATACATTAAATAAGAGTCCTTAGCTGGCTGGTCCTTATCTCCATTGCATTTTATTAGGTGGGGGGGGGACTGGTTATTTCATGTTCCTGGCTACATCCCTCTTTTGCCTGTCTACTCTTCTCAATAAATTCTGCTGCTAATTGTGTTACCTGGCACCTTCCTGGGTCTGGTTTCTCTCTTTATCTTTGTCTTTCTAATTGCTAAAATCTAACCGCAGAGGCAAAAGCTGCCTTTAGTAAGGTTTCCTATTAATTTCTTTAATCAGGCTTAATGAGATCCTAATTTATCCTTTTTTCCTGCCTATGACTCCCTGTCCCTACACGCTCTTGTCAGTCCTGGACCACACAGGGGCCGATTTATCAGAATGAGCTGCAGCCTCAGGGGCCCCTGTGAGATAGCACCTTGCATAGTGGGGAACAGAATCAAGTCCATAGAGGACTGGGGTACAGACTGCCAAGAGCCAAGGTGGTCATCCTTATGGAGGAGAGGGGCCTGGAGAATTCCTTTCCTTTCCCCTCCTGCTGTCAGCCCTAGGAGACCCCATGTATGTTACCAGATCGGACATCCACTTGCTGCCTCTGCTTTGGGTCAGAGCAAAGGGCGGTCCTGTTCTGAGCTGTGTGCTTTTGGTGAGGGGAGCAGGGAAGGTTGGGCTCAGTTCGGGGTCACATTGAGAGGATGTGCGTTGAGTGAGCAAGCCCCACTGCGAAGAGCAGGACCAGGAAAAATCCTGTTTTACCCTGCTGTTGGCCCTGTAGTCATGTGAAGAATTGTCTGGTAAGGGCCTCATTTTGCCTCAGGCGCACAGCATGCATAGTCAGAACCTTGAGAAGGCCAGGCTTTAGGAGGAAGGAGTGGACAAGACCAGGGGTCGGTTAGGTCAAGTTGAATGCTATGGGAAAAGAATAAGCTTCACCCTAGAGAGGGTCTTACAAGATTCTAGAAAAGCCTCTGTTGCCTGCCCTACAGCTGGATGTGGAGAATTCTCAGGAGAGCATGCTCTTTGTCCTTCCCGGGCCCTGAGATAATATCAGAGCCTTGTTATGGGGACTGAGCTAACCTAAGATATGTTAGAACCTAAGAGCCTAAGACAGGTCCAGGTGAGGGGCTGTTGGTGGTACTGAGAAATCCCCATTCCAGTGAGATCATCTCAGAATGTTCTCTAGAAAACCCTCTCTTGCTGGACTTGCACCACATAGTGTATAATTCTCAGGAGAGCGCCCCCTTTCTCCTCAATAGGAGCTGAGCCAGAGCCTTTTTCTAAGGACTGTGCTTCATGTGGGAGGAGCAAAAGACCAGGGGTCAGGCAGGTCAAGGGAGCCCAGCATCAGGGGAAAAATGTCTCAGGGGAGCATCCCTTTCTCCTCAGGGCACCAGGAGAGGAGGCTCAGAACCCAGATCTAAGGACTGTGCTTCAGGTGGGAAAAGAAGAGAGGACCTGGGCTAAGTTAGGTCAAGATGAAGCCCTGGGGGCACAGTGAGGAAGCCCCAAGCCAGGGAGAGGTTCCCCAAACAACCCAGATCTGCCTCTTTTAAAGCCCAGCACCACAGGGAAAGTGAAGAATTTTCAAGGCATCATCCTCGGTTGTATCAGAGCACCAGAGGAGGAGAGGCAGATCCTTGTTTTTACACCTGTTTCAGGTCTGGAGAGCAGAGAAGACTGGGTTTAGGTCACAGAGAGAGGATGTGGGCCACTGCTGAAGCCTCAGCTCACACAGTTTGCCCAGAAATCCAGATCCACCTCTGCTGTGCACACACAGAGTAGATATGACCTGCTCCACACAGGGGCAGATAGGATAGGAGGAGCCCCATGCCCATGTCTGTCATGGGGGCCCTGGGTGTCAGAGCCTTGTTGTGATCTCTGCTCTTCGTGTAGGCTGAGAAGACAGGACCGCAGATTGCCTAGATTAAGTTCAGGGCCTGAGGGTGAGAGAGGAAGACCCATCCCAGGTTGAGAGTCTGAAAATAACCCATACCTGCTTCTGTCTAGCCCTGCACTGTGCAGTGGAGAATTCTCAGGTGAGCACCCTCTTTTGCCTCAGGGCACCCCTGGAATTCCCAGCCTGGATCAGAGGTCTTTTCTTAAACTAAGACCAGGAGAAAGGACCTGGGTTCATCTAGGTCAAGTTGAAGGTCTGTGGGGTAAGTGTGGGAGCCTAAGGCAGATAGTGGGTCCCTAAATACTCCTTACCTGCCTGTGTTGTCAGCCCTGTCCCTGGGACACACTTGCCAGGGCACTCCACTTCCACTCCCCAAGCCCATGACAGCCTTTCTGCCTTAGAAATCTGAGTGTCAGACACTTTGTCCAAAGGGGAGCATAGTGGGCTTCACACAGCGTCCTGGTGTTGGAAGAGACCAAGGTGAGGTCTGAGGGAGAACTGAGACGAGAATTCCTTTTAGAACTTCCTTTCAGCCCCATGAAGGCATGTGTGTCACAATCACTGACTTCTGCCTCTGTCATCATAGACAGAGAAGAACCACATTCTGATGTCTGTCCTTCGTCTGAGGGGAGCAGAGAGAACCTGTTCCCACTCCAGGTGAGGTCCTGCAGGGGATGAGGAAACCCCAGTTCAGCAAGACTCTGTGAACAATCCAGATCCATCTCTGTTGCTGGTTCTGGACCCCACAGGGGCTGGTTTGTAAGAATGAGTCCTCTCCATCCTCTGGCCTTGATATGAGGAGGCACACTCAGTAAACAGGGATGGGGTTCAGACTGTCTGGAACCAGGGTCAGGAGCCAGAGGGAGGAATGAGGGGACCCACCCCACCCCACTAGAGGAGACACATGGGGGACTCTCTGCCCCGATTATAGGCATAGCAAGCCCTGAACATGCTGCCAGGATGTGGCCCTGAGAAAGGTAACAGCCTTGGTCACAGAGGAGGCTGCCTTCCACTCCAGAACACAGAGAAACCCACAGCGTGCGCCTGCCTCTGCTCTGTCTCCAGGGACGCCCCATGCGGGGTTATCAGGAAGGAGATTCCTGATTTCTTCAACAGGATCTGAGGGACCTCAGGGTCTCTAAAGAAGGAGCAAGGCCTCAGGGAATAGGGTGACCCTGGCTCAGTCAAGATGAGAAATAAGGCAGGGCTGCAGGGCCCAGAACACATGACAGATGGGACCCAGCCTGCCCATTCTTTCAATCTGAGTGGAGTCTTGCATTCCTACCTGGACTCTGAAGGAGGAGGACTCTGATCAGAGAGGGGTGGGACTGCTTCCAGGACTCAATCTGAAGATTTAGTGACTTTGGGGGGGCATTGAATGCTATATCAGAGGGTCACCTCCCTCCAGACGCCAGCACCTTTGGCCCTGGCTCTTGGTGTCAGGCAGGAGGGGACCTTGGTGTGAGCCGTGTGGCCTCGGGTCAGCAGATCCAACACATGGGAAGCCTGGCCCTGCTGGCAGGCTGGGGTGGCCTCAGGCAGGACTGTGTACAAGAGTCACCCTGCCCTGTCCTTCCACCTCTGCTGTCCTAGATTTGTCCTTGATTTGCCAGATGCATCTATAGGTCAGCAGCATCTTGCCTGAGCCTGCATTAGACAAGGAAGGGCCTCCGGATCCTACTCCTCTATTAGTCTGGAAAAACTCCATACACAGGTGTGCAGATGTGCTGCATTTTTGTCTCCCTAGTCTTGGGAGGTGGTCCTTGCTGTGAGGATCTTCACCAGATCTTCACCAGGTCACAGAAGGAGACGCATCCTGTCAACAAAGGGGAGCAGGCCAGGATCTGCCAGGAATCAACGTGAGGAACTTGGGTGAGCACTAAAGATTGTTCATTCTTTATTGGTTCATGTTTGTAATACATAATGATTACATTCATCATGGAGAGTTAGTACAAGTACATGACACATATTCATCCTTTTTTATTCCTGCCCCTCCCTGCGTGTCTTGAAAAATATATATACATAAATGTGTGTATGCATGCATTATATATGTTTGGAGTACATAAGGATCACATTCTTTGTAGGGACTTTGTTCATGTGCAAAGTTCACAATTACCCCTTTTTTGTTTTGTTTTGTTTTTTGGTACTGGGGATCGAACTCGGGACCTTGCGCTTGCGAGGCAGGTTCCGGAACCACTGAGCTAAATCCCCGGCCCACAATTACCCCTTTTTTATTTGACATACCTCCCCTCTTTTCCCTCTCTCTCCATATCTTCATTCCCTCCCATATGATAAAGATATATGTCAGTATTTTCTATTGTCTATATTTTCTTTTGTACTTTATTCACATTTTGGGTGTCTCATATATGCAAAATCATGCAATATATATTTAAGTCTGTGTGTCTGATATTCAGAATTTTTACATCTTTTTGGTCTTTTCTACTGCCCATACTATCAATACAATTTTTAATTTCCTAAATTTCTGATTGAAACATTTTCATGTACCTTAGTTCTTTGGTTAAGTGTTCATTCGTGGCTCACATAGTTTGTTTAGCTCTGCTGGCTTTTTGTTAATGGCTTCTAAAATCTCCTTGATCATTTTGGTTATTACTTCCATTCCCTGCTTAGTTATATTTTTTGTGATACTGCTGAACACCTCTTTGATGTATTTTCCAACCTCCTCTGTGATTTTTGAATGTTTTGGGTATGTGGCTTATGCTATTCTCCTCCTCAATGGGCCCTGGATTGGCTTTGGGGGAGTTGAGAGTCTGGGGCGGAATTTTCTTGCCTTCTCTTCTAATGTTTCTCTTGGTTGTTTGTTTGCTTTGTTTTGTGCTAAATTTTATGGCACTCAGAGTAGAAAGACTTGTTAGTATAGAAATCTGTTTATTTAGTCTGCTTTTCAGGGATGTTTTGGGCATAGGTGAGTATAATCATTTGCCTCTGTCAGTCCAAAGATCTGACCACCTCTGTTAATCTGGGAGGAGAGGATGCAGCGCAATTTGACCACCACCAAGTCATCTGGGAATGTGCCCCAGGATGGTTAATGTCACAAAGGTAATCTGAGTATTGACATACAGAGAAAACCCATTAATGGCAACAATTACGTGACCCTGGAAATGTTAAGCAAATCAGCTACAGTGGTGTCATACAAGAAAAATTGAATATTACCATACAAGTAGAACCAATTAGGTACCACTTTTAACAATAGAATAGAAATCCATAATTATAGTGCACATATTAAGACAACCCAGATATTGACATACAACTAATATGGATGAAACACCATATCTAAAAAAAAATTCAACAGTAATTTTATAGAGTTAACTAACTATATGGAGATAAATCAAATTGAATATTTATACTATTGAAGATACAGTGGACTGGGAAAGGGGAATATAAAAAGTAAATACAAAAGCTTAAACTATATGATATGAGAAGGGGAGAGAAATAGGTGAAATGATCCTATTAAGGACTAGAAGGATATTTACAGAATTAGGTAAAGGTAATGGAAAAAACGGATGAGAAATTGAAAATAACAGAAAAAAAGGAGAAAATAAAATAAGTTATAAGGAAAATAAAAATAAGAAATATTAAAAGGAAGAGAAGGGCATAAAAGAGTTGAGTAAACATTAGAAAAAAATATTTCTTTTTTTTTAAATGAATAGTTTCCTTCCAGAATCCAGAAGTTTGGAATCTTACTGTCCCCAAGGAACCTGAGAATAGCTGCATGATCAGAGAAGCAAGTACAGCAGGCTAGGAGGAGGCTGTCCTCCCCAAACAGGGTCAACGCCCTGGTGCACATACGGATTCTCAAGCCTGAGAGGAAGGAAGTGCCAGCCATTGCTTTGTATGCCTTTATCCTATTATCTTCATGAAGGGCAAACATGACAATGAGGAGGACATAAGGGAAGAACTGAGAACAAGGGAAATGTTACCTCATGGGGAGCATTTTGCTATTGGGGAGCACTGAAAATTCTTCACCAAGGATTTGTTAGACGAAGGTTATCTAGAGTATCAGCACTGCCCAATAGTGATCCTGCTGACTTTGAGTTCCAATGGTAAGAAGACTCAGGCAGAAACCAGTAAGTTGAAAGTCCTTGAGCTTTTGTCCAAGGTTTATAGGGGAGATGCCAAGTCATACTCAGGTCTATATGAAGAGGCTTTGAGAGAGGAACAAGAGGTTGCCTATGCATGAGGTAATGGGCCACAGAGTGCAAGGTGCACGACATGGACAAGGATTATTCACAGCCGAATCTCTAGCTTAGCTTTTGCCTCATGTGAACTAAGCCCCATTCTTCAGTGTGTGTTTCAGGAGAGCAGGCAGTTTTCTAATAGTGAAGAGCCAGGCTACGAGAGGAAAATACAGTGCATACCATCTTGGTGGCTGTTCTATTTGGGTTACTTGCACATTGACAAGTGTTTCCTTTATAACGCTAAAATACTGTTCCTTTTTTGCAAGATTGAAGTAGATTGCACATTTCATTTGATGAATGATATTGATCTTACATGTATATTTAAGTTTTTAATATTAATGGTTGATTGTGATTTCTGATGTGAACATTACAGTAATCAAACTTGAATTTTGCCCTTCCATTCAATATGTCAAAGTCTTTGATCTTTCATTAAACCAACTGGAAATCCTCTCATTTTGCTTGTGATAAAATAGGAGTGGAATTGGAATGTCCTAGGAAATGTCTATGAAATTTACGTCACATTAGAAGATAAAAAATGAACATAAGGATAAAAATCAATTCATGGCTTATTTCTTTTTCCATGTTGATCTCTAGTCTTAAAAATATATGTATATATTAATATGTTGGTTCCTTCAAGAATATTAGGGAAACATCCTATTAATCAAGGACCCCATGTGCTCACTACCACATTGACCACCAAACCTTCATTGCAAGTGTGCTCTCTGCAAGGCCCAGTGTCTGTGGCACAGATATGAGTAAACTAGACTGAGCAGGTTTAAACCTGCCCAATAGGATGGTGGAGTCCAGGAGAACCACCAATGTCAGGAGATAGAGAGATGTCCTCAAGGATCTTATGGGTAAGTAAAATGGCACTGAGTGGAAGGGGTCTAGCAGAGAGTAGCTGTGGGAGAGTCCTGAGCCACTGTGGTTTGTGGCTTGGGGTAACTGCAGTTCTTTTTGCAGGAGTTGATTTTAATGCAGCTGCATGGTGGCCAGTGCCAGACCCTCAGATGAGGTGTCTTAGGCCTGAGAGAATGGAAGACTGCTCTGAGCAGTGCTTTTAGATGGTGAGTGAGGCTGAGAGGAATCTCCACCTGGGACAGCTATCAGAAGAGTGGTCCTACCCAGGGCAAGAACCAGGGGACTTATCCTCAGTGTCTGCAAGGGTTTCATCAGAGTAAGAGCGACTCTCAGGTGAACTAAGCCCATGAGGTCCTGGATCAGGTGCTCTGCTGTCCATTCTGGCTATTATTTTGAGAATTCTATAGAAAAATGAGTAGTGATAACAGACATACTTGTCTTGTTTCTGAATTTAGAGTGAAAGCATTCAGTTTATCCCCATTTAATATGAAATTGGCTATTAGTTTGTCATAGAAGGCTTTTATCAGATTGAGCAGTTTTTTCTATATTTTCTTCAGGAATTTATTCATGAATAGATGTTGGATATTGTCAAATCTTTTCTACATCTATTGAAATGATTTTTTTTATCCTTGCTTCTCTTTATTGGGCATATTAAATTTTTGATTTGTGCATGTTGAACCACCTTACATCCATGGAGTAAATCCTACTTCTTGATGATTATTCATACTGTTTGCCAGTATCTTACTAAGGATTGTGCATCTATGTTCATAAAAGTTATTGGCCTGTTGTTCTCTTTTTCTGCTTGCATTCCTTTCCGCTTTGGGGATCAGGGTAATGCTTGCTTCCAGAATGACTTTGGAATCCTGCTTCCCATTCAATTTCATTAAGAAATTTGAGGAATATTGGAATTAGATCTTCTCTAATGTTCTTGTAGAACTTGGCAGTGAATCTGTCAGGACCTAGGCTTTTTGGGTAGTATTTTAATATAAAAATTGTTTAAATTCATTGGCTAATATTTGATTATTCAGAATTTTTATGTCTTTTTTCAGCTTTGGGAGTTCATATATATGTAGGAATTTATACATTTCTTATGAATTCTCCATTTTATTAGGTTCTTAAAATAGTTACAAATGATCTTCTGGATTTCAGAAGAGTATATTGTGCTTTTGACTTTAACTTTCCTAATTGCTTGGATTTGGGTCTATCTTTTTCTCTCTTTTAGCAAGCATAGTGATGGGTTCATCAATTTTGATTATTCTTTGAAAGAACAAACTCTTCAATTGATTCATTCTTCGTATTTTTTTAGTCTCTACAAGGGCTGGAATAATCAATGCCTACATTTTGAAATTCAGAGCAATTCAGGCTAGGCCTGAGCTCTGGCTATAAGGCCAAGACCTATGCCCTTCCCAGATGAGTTTAAAACCTTCATGGCATCTATTTGTAATGTGATCCCCTTCCACAGCTGTTTGCTGAGACTATTTCTCATCCAGTCACCGTGGGAGAGAAACAGTGGGAACCCTGAAGTGAAGCTGTTCTGTGGCTCTTCTGAGTCCCAGGTTCAAATACTCAACTCTTTCCTGGAGTGGAACCCAAGCCCATGCACTCTCCAAGAATATGGCTGGCACCTGTGTAGGGGTCAGTTCCCTCCTGATTCCTGTGTATGGACTTTGTGGAAGCAGAACTCCACAATGTCCCTGCAGATTGCAGCAACTGCTAGTACATTGAACCATCACTTTTTCTTCCTCAGACCTCCTAAACTCCCCAGGTTTCATTGTGGTTCTACACATTCAATACATTCTCTAAGATCCAGGAGACAGGGAAGAATTCCAGATTGATCTGTTCCCCTCTCTGCAATATAGTCTGTGTCTTCAACATCTTTGTAGTTTTTTTTTCCTTATTACGTGTTTGTGATACATAACAGTCAATTTCATCATGGGAATTTGTTCATGTACATATAACATCTTAATTGTTTTGTTTGTTTCCTTCCCCTCCCCATTTACAAAGGCAGAATAGCAGAGTGGCAGGACTTGGTGGGAGGAAAGCTGTTCACAAGTCCTTCAGGAACCAGAGGGTGGAGAGAGGTGCCAGGAAGGAAGATATAACCTGCCCTGTCACACTCAGAGTGACCTGCCTCTTTGTTAAAGCCCCTACCATCTTAGAGCAAGCCAGATATGAGCCCCCATAGTCCAATTACCTTCCAAAGGTCCTGCCTATGATCCCATGTGACTTTCTGGGGAATCTCAATTAAACCATAGGAGGTGGCTTGTTTCACAGGAGAGATGGGCACAGGTCATTATTGTCAGCACTAAAGTCCCCATGAAGGGGTAACAGGATGGGTAACTTCTCACTTATTTTGAGAATCCTGGAGATCTCAGGGAAGTGAGAGAGTGTCTGCAGGTTGGCAAAAGCAACCCCATCTGATAAGGAGACACATAGTTTCCATATCTGCCAAAAGTCAAGATGAGGATCATAAGGGAGGTAGGGTACTCCTGACCTGAACACAAATGGGCAAGTGTTCCTCTGATATTGGATCTGTGCTTTCCATAATCCCAGGAATCCCATGAGGGTTTTCCAGCTAAGGCTGCTCTTAGTTCTGCATCATTGGTCTCAGTGAGTTGAAGGCCTTGGTACAAGGGTAAATGAACCAGGACAGCAGAAGTAGTATCCCAGGGTCTATCAAGGGTCTATGTGAGGTGGGGGGAACCCACTCATCTGAACGCATAGTACCCTAGCCTCAACCTGTCCTTTCTGTTACCTTCAGTCAGACCTAGAGAACATAGGTGGATTGGCCTTCTCCCACTTCCCCTTTGAGTGTCTCACATCAATATTGCTGTGGTTCAAGAGTGACCCTGTCATTGTAGAGAGGGTCCTAGATCTAACCATTTGTAAGATAAAGATGTAACAGGTCCCCTCTCATAGGACACATGGACTTCACTGAATTTTCCACCTCCAGCTATTGCCCCCAGGCAGCTGTGGGCAGATGTGTGTTCCTTTGGTTTCTTTTGGCCCCTATCAAGGAAAAAGATGGTTTTTCTAAGTTTGCCTCAGGTCAGTGGACGGCTTAGATCTAGGCCCTGCTCAAGAACTGCTGAGGTCCTGAGTGAGTGGTGAGGGAACAACCCACCCAGAACAACAGGGAGCTCACAGAGTCCAGGCCATAAGTCCTGTGGGGGCTGGGGACAAGGATTGTGCTTGAGGTCTGTAGCCTGAGGGGCCCTCCATGTCTCTTACAGGAGCTCCAGGAAACAGGCAGTGAAGGTCTTGTCGGGAAGCAGTGTCCTCAGGTCACACAGCAGAGGAGGCCCTGGCAGTATCAAGAGTCAAGGTGAGGTGCATGCCCTGGTGAGGTCCTAAGGTTCCACCTGTCCCAGACTAAGGACACTTCATATCACCCAGGCTCCATATGCCATACTGTCTCCCCTAGAGCCTGTCCTCTGCAGTTAAACTGCAGCCTGAGAAGCAGCCTTACTTCGTGTCCCAGGATCATGGGGACATTGCCTATAGGAAGACATGAGCCTGTGAAGACCTAGAACACTCCTCAAAGACAAGACCTATAATGAGTCTTTGTATGAGGCAACAAGTGTATTGTTCTCACTGAGAACACTAATAGTCTTCCTCTCTCCTCCAGGCATCTGAGTCTTCAACAACAAGGTCTTGCTGTCCCCACGGAACATCATGATGCCCCATAGTCAGGGGAGCCAAGACAGCAAGCTAGGGGGAGGCCATTCTGGCCAAAGTAGTGCATGGATCCTCATGGGTGTGAGAGTTTTCAATGATAAGGAACAGGAAGCAAAAGCCACTGCTTCCTCTATATCCTCTTCCTCTTATACTGCAATCAGGACCACAGCAAGAGAAAAGCCTGGGCCTGGAACACAAAGTTGTCCTCAAATTCTTCTGGGAATTTCTGCTCCCCCTAAGGCCATGGCTTCCAGTCAAGAGAGCCAATCCAGGGAGTGCTCTATCAGGCAAGATCCAGAGGGTTCAAGCACCTCACAGGATGTGAACTTCACTCAGATCCGGCACCATGTGTTCCGAAATGACAAGTTGGATAATTTGATGCGATTCTTGCTCGGCAAGTATCAAAAGAAGGAGCTGATCACCATGAAAGAAATGCTATACACTGTGGACCATGATTACCATGAGCACTTCCTTCTGATCTTCAGGAAACTATGTGTGTGCATTTGTCCAGGGTTTGGCATTGAGATGAAGGAAGTGGATCCCCCTGGCCACACATATGAGCTTCTCCCTGTCCTGGGCCTCACTTACAAGGGGATCCTGGATGACGATGTCCAGATCATTCCCAAAATTGATCTCCTGATATTCATCCTGAGTGTAATCTTCATAAAAGGCAACCGTGTCAGCGAGGAGGACCTAAGGGAACTGCTGAGAGACAGGAAGCTATTAGCTGAGAGGGAGCTCATTATTATCGGGGATCCCTGGAAATTCATCACAGAGGATTTGGTCCGGGAAGAGTACCTGGTGTACCAGCAGGTTCCTAATAGTGATCCTGCTTGCTATGAGTTCCTCTGGGGTCCAAGGACTCACGCTGAAACCAGCAAGATGAAAATCCTAGAGCATGTTGCCAAGCTTGAAAGGGCATCTCCCAGGTCTTACCCGCATCTATATGTGGAAGCTTTGAGAGAGGAACGAGGTATAATCCGGGTCATTGAGGGACAAGAAGCATGACAGGGACAGATAGTGTTCCACAACCAGGCCACTGGCTTAGATCCAACCCCACGAGAAATAAGCCCTATTCTCAGTCTGTGTTTGTGGAGAGCAGGCAGTTTTTTAAAGTAGTGATGGGCCAGGGGAGGGGGCAAAATCCCATGCTTTTGATCTTGTTGTCTCTTCTATTTTGGCTACTTAGAAGTGAACTTGTGATTTCTCTATGACTTTTTGAAGTCTTGTTCCTATGTTGTGAAATTAAAATGGCTTGCAAAGTTTATTTGAGGGATGGTATTGATATTACATATATTTTTAGTTTTCTGATATTGATGTTTGATTACGAATTCTATGTGAAGGCAATTTTGTGTAACATTAATCACAAGTAGATTTTCCTGTTTTACTCCAATGATATGAATATTTCCTCTTTCATAAAAAAAAAACAGGGAAACTTTTCATTTGATTTATGATAATATATTAGAATAGGAATTTCCTTAGAAATGTGTAAGAAATTTACATCAAGTTTCGTGGAGTCCAGAAATAGACATGAGAATAAAATTCAATTCATGGCTTCTTATTTCTTTTCCCTTGTTGACCTACAGTATTAAATACATATATATATCTGAAAATGCTTGGTTTTTTTCAATTATATTAAGGAAATTTACTCTCAACAAAGTACCCCGTGTGCTCATAGGCACATTGACCACCAAACCTTCATTGCACGTGTGCACTTTGGGAGGCCCCATGTCTGTGTGGAGACATGAGGAAACCAGACGGAGCAGGATCCAAGCTACCCCACAGGATGGTGGAGTCCAGGAGTACCAGCAGTGTTGGGAGATAGAGAGATGTCCTCAAGAAACTAAAGGGCAGGTAACAGAGCACTGAGGGGATGGAGTGTAGCAGAGAGCAGCCATGGGCGAGTTGTGATGCACTTTGTGGCTCGAGGTAACTTCACTTCCTTGTGCAGAAATTTATTTTAATGCAGCTTCATGGTGGCCCAAGACAGCCCCTCAAATGAGGTGTCTTGGGCCTGAGATAAAAGCCTGAGAGGATGGAAGACTGCCCTGAGCAGAGCTTTTAGATGGTGGGTGAAGCTGAGAGGAATCTTCACCTGGTAGAGCTCTGAGAAGAGTGGCCCTATGCAGGGCAAGAACGAGGGGTCTTATGCCCAGCCTCTGCAAGGATTTCCTGAGAGGTAAAGGGGGACTCTCAGGGAATGTGAGGCACTAACGTCCCTGGCCAGGTGCTCTGCTATCTTCAGGGAGTGTCTACATTCCATAGTCTTGCAGTACCCAGTTGACGGACTTCCCTGTAGTCAACTTCTCCTCGTGAGTCCAGTTTGCATCAACACACTTACAAGATGGACATGAGCACCTGGTCAGTCCCATTGGACAGTTACACCAGTGGTCAGAGGACTGCCTGACCAAGTGGTTCTCCCTCCACAGACCCAGCTCACTGTTCGTAAGTGTCTTCCCCTTGTCTTACACCAGAACTCAATCTGGGTCAGTTTGAAATGTTTTTTTCTGAAAGAGGTTTATGCTAGTGTTGTCGGGGTCTATAATTTTGCTTGAAGTTTCTTGGAGCTGCATCTGTGCTGAGCTGGTCTTGTCATGACACGGTCCAATGTTTTAGTCCTCATTGTCACAAAGGCCTCATGAGCTCCAAGGCTAGACTCTTGGTGAAGGAGATATGATTGAAAATAGTTGTTCCTGTGGAGGGGAAGCTGGCAGGGAGGGGGATATGGTTGTTCTCCTAAATTCCAAGACCTATAATTTAGTTGGCCCCATCAGGGACAGACTCCTGAACATCTGATCAACTAATACATAATTTTGGAGAGAACATGCTGGGGGAATGTATACTGAGCAGCATTTTGGCTTGGTTTTCTATTTAGTTTCCTAATGACCTAACTTCCCTGGGAAATGCATATACAAATTTTGCAGCAAAAGTATGTTAGTGTCTGAAGTTATGGTAACACTAGAACTAGCTGTTTATCACCAATCATTCAATATACGTCAGATGTTTTAGTACATTTCTTACATTCCACTGGTCTTAAAATAAAAAAAATGTGCAAAATTCATTGTATAGATGAAGAACTTGATGCCTACTGGGCTTGGGAACTGCTCAGGATCCCTGTGTGGCAAATGCCAAGGCCAGGACTGGACTCTCTGTGTGCGGTCATCTAGAGGCCACCCTGTTCCCACTCCTCCCAGCCTCAACCCGGCTCTGTTTCTGAATTCAATTCTGTACTCAGAGCAATGAAAATACCTCTCAGGGTGCAGAAAGTCCCCGTGTCCAAGGCACTCACCTGGCCTGAATTAAGAATGTAAAATGAGCGGGCGATGGGTGCATCCTACTCCCTGGGAACTGCCCAGAGTCACCTGCCCTCGCCCACGGCATGTAGAAGGCCCTGGCTGTCACTTTGCTCACCATGGAAACCCTCCAATAGCAACAGACCTTTTGACATAAAAGTTATCCTTGGACTGTGAGGCTTAGTCCCTGGGTTATGTGCCTGAGAATCAAAATAACACACGCTTGAACTTTCCCAAACAGGTGATAAGGAGTTTCATGTGCAGCATAATTTACTCCTTATCTTGACAGGTAAATTAGGACAGTTTTAAAGACCATCTTGATATTTTCTATACAATTTTAATGAAAAGAGTTACTAGAAAAAGTCCACGGCACACATGTGCAGGTGCATGAGCTTATGTGGGTGGTCAAACCCAAAGCTCCTTGAGAAGCTGTAGGTGAGGCAGGACCGTGCTCACCACAGTGGAGGAAAGAAAAACATCTGCTGTGGCTGAATTCCTCTAACCCTGAAGTCCTCTGAGGAGGTGGCAAGTGCTTCTTTGTAGATTTCAATCTAAGTATAAAAATGATGTCCATGATCTCTTTCTGATCTGTGTCCCTCCCCACAGGAAGTCATGATCTTCAATATGTGGAATAGCACTGGTCCTGATGTTCGGACCAGGACAGTCGTGTGTGCTGTGGGAGCAGCTCACAATTAGCAGGCTGGCCATGAGTCTAGGAGGATTTTCTCCAAAGACAGGAGAACTTTTCTCCAAAGACAAGAGAAACCTGTCAGCCTGTTAAGATTGGAGGTTCCTGTGAAGGGAACAATAGACAAATGATAATGAGTAAAGAACAAGACCCCCTTCTGCTAATATTTTTAGAATAATATGAAAATCAGATTGATTCTGTATTTGAAGCACCTGTTTCCCAGTAGGTGGCACTTGAAATGGCTGGAAAATTTCCACACTTATCTCAACTTCCCAGAAGTTCCTCCCAGAGGGGATGAGAATTTTATCTAAAAAAATCATATTTGTTGTTTTTTGTTTGAGCATCTACTATGTGACCACGTATGCTGACGCTCCAGGTCCTTCTCCACATACTACTTGCCTTCGCTACTCTTTTAGACAGGGGAACACTGTAGTCCACTTGTAATTAGTGATGGTCATTAGGGTTCCTTCTGCTAAGAAGAAGAAGTTCTAACTGCTCATTTTTTAGCAGAAAAGTTCACATCCTTTGAGAACTACTGAAGGGACCTGAAGTAATAACAGACCTATTACTTTTCGTTGCAGCCATGTCTATAGGAGATGCTCCATGAGCCCTAGAATAATGCATACACCCTGGACATACAGCACACAAACAGACGTCTCTATATCCAGGCTGCAGAGGTTCAAACATTTATGTTCACTCCCTTTGACAGGAGCAAGCTAATTCTGTTTCTGAAGGCTGTGGGCAGGAGCCACTCCACAGATGCTGGCTGCAGAGTTTCCTTCATGACATGCACACTCAGGCATGTGAGGTGCACCTGTCAATCCCAGGACAGCTGTGATGTCCTCCCCAGTGTGAGGGCAGGTGGTGGCCAAAATCGCCCAAATCTCAGTGCTGACTGGAGGTTTCCTCCTCCTATTGCTGTGCCCCATTGCTCCATCCTCTGCTTGCCCAATCTAGAGCCTTAGGCTCTCTATATCCCTACTCCCACCTGCTCAGCCCAAGGCAGAACCCAGTGCTGATGGAAACATACAGAATCTCTACCCGAAGATCCTTTGTAAGAATTAGGTTAGGAAGTTCTTTCTGCATGATTTCAGAGCAGTCAAAATGTGCATCTAACGGAAATGTACCATGAACACCTTTCTCATTCCACGTGAGGCCTGTTAAGCCGGACCCAGGTGTAAAAGCCGAGCTGAGAGCAGGCACTCCACAGGCAGCCAGCAAGGACACGAGCCTTGATTTGAGTAGACTCTTTTAAGAAGACCCAACTTCTCATTTCATAGCAGAAAAGTTCATATCTTTTGAAGAGTACTCCTAAAGGGGTCTGATTGATGTTTTCCTAAAGCAATTCTCATGAGAAACCATAGTGCACAGATACTGTGCCCTCTATTACCTTTGGCTCCTAAATGATAAAAAAAGTCTACTGCACTTTCATTGTGCCCTCAGTTTCTGCCAGCACCTGTACTGTCCTTGGTACTGTGAAAGGGAACTTATATTAATACATTAAGGTTCATTTATATGCAGAAGACCAAATCAAAGGAAGCCATATATCTTGGCAGTAAGGAAAAAAGAATCTAGCTAGCTCCAAGGAGAAGAAAAGGAGAATTTACCTCAAATCATCATCTCTCCTTGTACAAGCGGGTAAGGAGCTCACATAGTTAGGAACAGAGGGGCGGGAAGGACGGAGAGGTGATGCAGATCTCCACACCGGCCTCAGCACTTCCAGCAGTCTTCAGCACATCCTCCTCTAAACCAGGCTCCAGCCTCCTGGGGCTGGTGGCATCTGCCTATTCGGTCACTTCTTGGGGGCTGCAGACAGGGGAGGACAAGGGATTCATTATGAACACAGCAGGAAGGAGTTTGCACTAGCTGTGTATTTGTGAAAGGAAAATCTACATTTTATGCTTTCACTTTGCATTCCAGCCACAGTCCTCACAGGGTGGTGTAACAGAGACCTTCCTGCCTCGGGGTTCTGAGCCCTGGTCTCGGTGCCCTTTTCACGCTGTGCAGAGTGACCTTGCCCATTTCCCACAGACACCAGGCAGGGTACCAGCAACATACTCAAGGGGGTCCCCGGGACACCTCACTCTTCCTAGCACATAAGAGCATCACCTCTTTCTCGTGAAGAAGAGGGTCCTTTACCCTGGCAGGATTGTGACTCCTGTCTGTACCTTCTGGTGCCAAATCAGAAGGACCA